CAAGAGACGCTGACAAGAAGCATGGGAATCAACGTTGCTTTTCTACAAAGAACCCAACAGCTCGTTGCTGTTATTTTAAGCTTTCTGGGAGAAGCCAATCATCTTCTTGCCTTACTCCCAAGTTGTCCTTTTTTCTTCAGCTGCTCTTGCCTTCTGGCAGCTCTTCGCATGCGTGCACTAGGAACAGGCTCCTCCTGTTCCTCTGCCTCTCTGCTGTCCGCCTCTGGAGCAGGGGTGAAATGTAAAATTTGTTACTACCAGTTCTGTGGGCGTGGCTTGGTGTGTGTGTGTGTGGGTAATGTGACTGGGTGGGCGTGGCCAACTTTTTTTTTTTAACTTTACAAAGCATTTTTTCTACAACCTCTTCGGCCGAAGAGGTTGCAAAAAAATGCTTTGAAAAACTTCTGCCGATCAGGCAACACAGCTGGGATCATCAGAGGCTTTTCAAAGCATTTTTTTTACCACCTCTTCGGCCGAAGAGGTTGCAGGAAAAAATGCTTTGAAAAGCCTCTGACGATCCCAGCTGAGCCGCGTGATCATCAGAGGCTTTTTTTTTTTTTTACTTTTAAAAGCATTTTTTATGGCAGAAGAGGTTGTAGAAAAAATGCTTTTAAAAGTAAAAAAAAAAAAATAGCCTCTGATGATCGTGTGGCTCAGCTGGGCATGGTGGGAGGGGGAGCAGGGATTTTTGCTACCAGTTCTCTGAACCACCTGCTGTCATCGCCACCGGATCGGGTGATCCGGTCCAAACCAGGAGCATTTCACCCCTGCTCTGGAGGCTCCGGAATCCGCACATCACTCCCAGATGGCCCTGGCCTTATCTCTGCCTCTGACGCAGAGCCCTCATCTGGGCCTTCTCCTTACTCCAGGACTGGCCCATTGTCCTCCCCAGCTTCCTCACTGTCCGACTCCGCTGCTGGCGGACCACAACACTCTGAGCTTGTGGGTTGGATTCCGAATGTTTCATTACCAGGCTAGGTAACATGTTCAGCAGAGTTTAGTTAACTGCCCTTAACTCACTTCACAAATTTCTCATCTAGCAAAATAAATTTTGGGCTGAATTGTGGTCATAAGCAGAGGACTACCTGTATGTGTATACAGTATGTGTATTATGTATAGGTATATATATATATATATATATACACTTTATTTTGATAGCAGACAGATAGACCAATAAATCATAGGAACATCTGTAGGATTACTACTTTCAGGACTCAAAGTAGAGACTGCACAAGCAGTCAAAGATATGAATTTGGTATGTGGGTTTGAGGAAGCAGATAGAGAATGCATGATAGATATTTCTTGCAATTCACAATAGGCTTCTTTGCTCCTTGAGAAGTCCCTGTGGGATCTTCCCACTTAGTCTGGAATATATACTGTACATTATTATGCTTCAAAACAGTAACTAGGTTCCTATTGCTTATAAGAGGTGGCTTCCATGATCATTGCTCAGAAAAGATACAGAAGAAGGAGGCAGCAAAACTGCATTGAGGATACATCCGTGAGCCAAGAAGACAAGGCATTTCTTCCAAAGCACTGAGAATGGAGAAAATTATGCTTCCCAAACATTGAATTAAGGGGTAATGTTTTAACAGATGCATTTGCTTTGCCTCCCATTTATAAGCAAAATCAGCACAATTTCACAATCTAGAAAAAAGGCTGTGACTAACAGAAAAATATAAGATAATAGCACAGAGAGATCATGAAAATTTTCTAAATATGTTATATCTATGGAGATTCTCAGTCATCCAAGTCATCGTTGTCCCAAAAGTGCCTTTTCAAGAGGGGAAAAAAAAACAATATCACCTTTGGGACATCCTGAATATGTTTTATGTATATTGTTAAGTGGTAAAAATACTGCCTGGCAAAAATAAATTTAAGGTTGCCAGGTGTCCATTATTTGAGCAGACAGTCTGCTTTTTTCACATTATGTTCACTATTTTTTTTTTCACAAAATAGTGGACATTTTTTTTTATTCAAAAGCTTTATGATTGTATATTTTTTAATATTTCTCAATGTTGTACTGAAATTAAAGAATTATTCCTTAAACACAAAGAATTGATCAAAGCTGCGCAGTCAAATAAAAAATACACACGACAGCAAAGTAAAATGCAATTTAATATTTTGCATATTATTATAATATATTTGATGTTTTGAATTTTAAGTAAAGTTTTGAAGTGATTATTTTAATACGTGTTAAAATGTTTGTAAGAAAATATATAATTTAATTGTAATTTTTTTTATTTTTTTACTACTTAACCCCCCTCCCACCCGCTTGTCCACAATTTTTTGGAAGCAGACCTGGCAACCCTAAATAAATTAGGGAATAAAAGTTTGATAGATATTGTTGTTTTGCCTCTGATTTGCATGAAACATACCCTAATAATCTAGAATATTGATTTTACCAGTATGAACCTGAGGATGAATACCGCACAGATCTTGAAAAAAATTGTGATTAATTCTTAGTGCAGTTTGCAAGGAGTGAGTATTTTTACAATTTTTAAAAATGTTTAGTTCTCGAGAGTGGTTAGCTGTAATATTGCTCTCTGAAACTAGGAAATGGTTTGCAGAGTTCAAAAGAGGTAGATTAAATCAGATAATTTCTAATGTATAATGTTTGAGGCTGGTTTAGAAGAAACATAAATTAAACCCAGTTCATAGAACAAAGAATAATAGAGTTGGAAGGGACCTTGGAGGTCTTGGTGTCTAATCCCCTGCTCGAGCAGGAGACCCTATACCCGTGATGGTGAACCTATGGCACGCGTGCCATAGGTGGCACATGTAGCCATATCAGTCGGCACGCAAACTCAGTTCCGGCGCGCATCCGCTCACTGGCCAGCTGATTTTCAGGCCTTCTGGGCCCACCAGAAGTAGGGAAACAGGTTGTTTCCTGCCTCCGGAGGGCCTCAGGGGGTGGGGAAGGCAGTTTTCGCCCTCCCCAGACTCCTAGAAAGGCTCTGGAGCCAAGTGAGAGAGAAAAACAGGCCTTATCGGACATTAATACAATTGAGCGAGTCCAGAGATATTTCACGAGAAAAGTACTCCACTCCTCTGCTCACAACAGAATACCTTATGCCACCAGGATTGAAATTTTGGGCTTGGACAACCTAGAACTATGCCGCCTATGATCTGACCTAAGCATAGTACATAAAATTATCTGCTACAATGTCCTACCTGTCAATGACTACTTCAGCTTCAACCGCAATAATACATGAGCACACATTAGATACAAACTCAAGGTAAACCGTTCCAAACTCGATTGCAGAAAATACGACTTCAGCAACAGAGTTGTCAGTGCCTGGAATGCACTACCTGACGCTATGGTTACATCCCCAAACCCCCATAACTTTAATCTTAGACTGTCTACTGTTGACCTCACCCCATTCCAAAGAGGTCTGTAAGGAGTGTGCATAAGCGCACCAGCGTGCCTACCGTCTCTGTCCTACTGCCCCCATTTATTTGTATCCATTTCCTGTATTCATAGCCACATTTATACTTATTCTTGTTATCTTGTACATGTTTGACAAACTAACTACTTAAATAAATACATACAGTACATAAATGAAGGCATGCTATTTTTATTACTGGGTGGAATGGAGAAAGTATATATGTATCTTTGAGGATCCATTTGCTTATTCTGGGGAGGGGGTTGGAACTGAAGCAAGGTTAAGCTCTTTTGGTCTTCCCATAATAGATCCTTTGGAAAACATCAAGCCAAACATAACACAATAGTTAAAAATGGGTATGCACGGGATTATTTTATGAGATCCTGCCATGTTAGTAGGTGCTTAAGATAGTTTCCATGGAATCTCTCTTCACTCCAATGATAACCTTTGCAAGATTAGGGGACTGGAGGCTAAAACAGATGAAGAATGGTTGCAGGAACTGGGTATGTCTAGTCTAATGAAAAGAAGGACTACAGGAGACATGATAGCAGTCTTCCAATATCTGAGGGGCTGCCACAAAGAAGAGAGAGTCAAGCTATTCTCCAAAGCACTTGAGGGTAGAACAAGAAGCAATGGGTGGAAACTAATCAAGGAGAGAAGCAACTTAGAACTAAGGAGAAATTTCCTGACAGTTAGAACAATTAATCAGTGGAACAACTTGCCTCCAGAAGTTGTAAATGCTCCAACACTGGAATTTTTTAAGAAGATGTTGGATAACCAGTTGTCTGAAGTGGTGTAGGGTTTCCTGCCTGGGCAGAGAGTTGGACTAGAAGACCTCCAATGTCTGTTCCAACTCTGTTATTCTATTCTAAGGTGAAGGAGAGCAAAACGAAGGAGGAGACATGGCCCATGTCTCATAATGTTCCCATGGTTGAGGATGGACCTGAAGCTGACTCTTTAGACTCTAGATACAAACTTAACTTCTACATCAGCAAAATAGATATTCAATGAGCTCATTTTCAGCCCATGGTCAAAATAAGATGCATCAGAAGTCCCATCAAATGTCTTATTCACTCATCATGCTAAATGGTGGAACTCCCCCTTTAGATCTCAGACCAACTGGCAGACCCAAGTCTATAGATCTTTTATTAATTGAGCAGCATCTACAATGATAACAAAAGATAAGAAATGTTCTTCAAAGTCCTTTTTTTCTTTCTCTCGGTCTCTCTGACTTTTCTCTTAGTCCATCAACTTTATCACCTGAAGGATTGAAGTATGGAATCTATGCATGGTTGTCAGTCTGATTTTCTACACATAGCTCCATTCATTCTCCTGTGTCTCAAAGAGTTCCAGAACTGGAGAACGTCACTTCTCTGATTATAAGATGCTCATCTCCGTTCACAGTCTAACAGAAAAATCATGCAACCGCCCCCGCTCCCAATTTCCAACAGCACTAATGGAAGATCCAAAGAAAAAGATGGCCTCCAAGACTGTGAATGGAGATGAGCATCTTCTAATCAGGGAAGTGACCTCCTCCAGTTCTGGAACTCTTTGAGACACAGGAGAATGAATGGAGCTATGTGTAGAAAATCAGACTGACAACCATGCGTAGATTCCATACTTCAGTCCTTCGGGTGATAAAGTTGATGGACTAACAGCACTTAGTGCTGTTGGAAATTGGGAGGGGGGTTGCATGGAGTTGGTAGAGATACAGTAGTGGGCAAAATTGTGGAAACCTTTTGGGAAAAGTATATTTTCTAAAACTAGCTAATAACACCACTTTTTTTGGGGGGGACTAATGTCATAAAAGTACATATCAATGGAAAGATAATTTAATCAAGAATGTCATGCAGTAATTTTTATGAAGGATTTGCTATTAGAATAGCAGTTACAGTAGAAAGAAGAAAAGTGAAACATGTAGAAAAAAACAAGATACACAAAAATGATCACCATAGAAAAAAGGAGATAAACAAAAATGATCACCCTGTCAGTTAATACTTAGTTGGGTAACCTTTAGCATGAATTATGGCCTTACAACGTCTTCCCCATGGAGTGAACTAAGTCTTTTAGTTCTGCAGCTGTTATCATGTGAAACCAAGAGGGAATGATGGCTTCAATTAACTGGGTTTTATTGCTGAGTCGCTTCTGGCTAACAAGTTTCTTTACTTGGCTCCATAGATTTTTCAATTGGGTTAAGGTCTGGGCTATTCCCAGGCCATTCCAGCAGTGGAATAGGATTATCTTGAAACTCCAAAAAAAAAAAAAAAAAAAGTGGTGTTATTAGCCATCAAACGTTAAGAATACACTTTTCCCAAAAGGTTTCCACAATTTTGGCCACTACTGTATTTAGCCATAACAACGTTCTTTCCTCTGAGAGTCAAGGACGTTCAGCCTGCACCTGGACAGGTCATTTCCCCGATTAGACGATGCTCATCTCCATCCACAAGCAACCTTCAAAGCTGTTTTTATTTCCATCCACAAGCATCCTTCAAGGCTGTTTTCCTCTCCATCCACAAGCATCCTTCAAAGCTATTCTCGTCTCCATCCACAAGCATCCTTCAACGCTGTTTTCACCTGCCTGTTCCTCAGGCTGTAAATGAAGGGGTTGAGCAAAGGGGAGACCACGTTGTTCAGGACACCTACCGTCTTGCTGAGGTCCAGCCCGCCGCTTTGCGTGGGCTTGACGTACATGAAAATGCAGCTCCCGTAGGAGATGGAAACTACCACAATGTGAGACGCACAAGTGGAAAAAGCCTTTTGCCTGCCCTCCTCGGAAGGGATGTGCAGGACAGCCGCAATGATTTTAATGTAGGAAATGATTGTGACAGCCAGAGTCCCCAGCACAGTAAAGGTGGCCATGAGAAAATCCATCAGTTCCAGAAATTGGGTGTCGGTGCAGGCCAGCTTGATCAGTGGTATGTTGTCACAGAAGAAGTGATTGATGACATTTGGACCACAGAAGGGCAGACGAAATAACAGAATCAGGGGCATTATGATATAAAGGAAACTGATCAGCCAAGAGCCCACTACTAACTGTGTACACAATTGATTGTTCATAATAACCGTGTACCGTAGGGGATTGCAGATGGCTACGTAGCGGTCGAAGGACATGGTGGCCAGAATGAAGAACTCAGCGGTGCCCAAAATAAAATAGAAAAAGGCCTGCGTGAAGCAGCCCGCCAGAGAAATGGTGCTGTTGCCTGAGGCCAAGTTTAGCAAAGCCTTCGGGATGGTAGAAGAGATAAATCCTATTTCCAAGACAGAAAAATTCCGGAGGAAAAAATACATGGGGGTATGGAGGCGATGGTCAACCAGAGTGATGTAGATGATGAGAAGGTTTCCCATGATGGTCAGAAGATACGTGAGAAAGAGGACCCAAAAGAGAAGGATCTGCAGCCAACGGATATGGGTGAAGCCTACAAGAATGAACTTGGTTACTGAAACTGTCTGGTTCAATATTTCTGCCATTCCATTATGAGTTATTTCTGGATCAAAATCTTTAGAAGAATAGGGAAAGGTCTGATGGGTCCAACCTTTCCCTCACAACATTAAAAAAAATAATAATAATTCCTTTTAAAGTTGTCGTGATCGACAAGATGAAAAAAAAACCCAGAATAATTGGGAGAACTGTTAAATTTACATTCTAGAAAACTCTAGTAAGAAAGTCTACAACTATCAGTGGAGGAAAGAGTTATTGGACAAACAAAGTAAATAATACCGCAGATCAAAGTGGGAAGGAGAGGTATCTTTTCCGAACCCTTTCCCCTTTTTCTAGGAAACCTCCCATTTTTCTAAATTGAAAAATGCATGCCCATGTCTTTAAAGGTTTTCTTGTATGTTCCTTCTGTTGCAATTCCCATCTTAATTAAAGACGTTGACTTGTTAATTTGTTTACCAGCAACACTGGTTCTTCGGGGAACTCATTCTGTGAACAAAAGTTCATTCGATTCTTCTAAAACTTGAATCGATCTTCTCAAACAGTTAGGGGCCAGCCCTTCAAGGTAGAGCAAGCTTGGTAACCAAAAACATCAAGCTGATTGACCAACCCAACGCTAAAGAATGGTGATTCTTTGTACCTGAATTCTTTATTGGTTCACATCTATAGATAAAATCTTGCCAGAACACTACTATATGCACCTACAATGTACCATGGAGGGGCTGTTTTCAACCTCTTTCATATGTAATACCAGGATTGACTTGTCTCTTGCTGTTCTGGAATGTCACCCCTCCCTCCTGAGAATCAACTACCTTACTGCATTCCATCACACTAATAATCTTTTGATTATAAGACGTCAGTAACAGAATATATATATATCTATACTTATATCTGTTATCTAATACGTCCTTGACGAAATAATTAAATGAATAAATGATGAAGAAAAACACAAAACTCATGGCTCATAAATTTTGGGGTGTATAGGAAAAGAAGGGCCAGAATAAGCAGGGGATCCTAAAGAAATGTAATAGCAGAGCCCAAGAAAGGAAAAATATTTGTGATTCTTATGGGTGGGAATATCAATATCAAAAGGAGAGGAACCCTGTCAGATGTTAATCCAATATTGATATGCTTTATCTGGTTGGCAGATGGAAAGTAGATAGATTGACACAACACAATGCCAACTTTTCCCCATATCCTTGCTTCTCTTTTGGTGTCTTAGAACCTCCTAAATTATTGTGTCACCTGAACCCAAAGCAGTTGTTTAGACTTCACATGTATTGAGTTTGAGGTGCTTGAAGTCAAGGAGGCTATCTCTATGCATTTGATTTCATCTCCCATATACACAAAAGCATACATAGGCACCAACATAAGACCTCCTTGCACCAAATTGCTTGAAATGGATGACAAAGTCCTTTTGGCTCACTGAAGGTAGACTTTCATATGGAAAATATTAAGGAGGGATTTCCATGCAGTTGTAAAACAATAAAGAAAGAAAAAAAAAAAACCTAGAACGGAACAGAACAGAATAGAATGAATCTGAAATGACTTGATGGCATGTAATCAAGCAATTAATTAAGACAATGTTTCTCAACCTTGACAACTGTAAGATGTGTGGACTTACACCCAGGGGTGAAATCTAGCAGATTCTGACAGGTTCTGGAGGACCGGTAGCGGAAATTTTGAGTAGTTCAGAGAACCGGCAAATACCACCTCTGGCTGACCCCAGAGTGGGGTGGGAATGGAGATTTTGCAATATCCTTCCCCTGCCTCCCCACCAAGCCACGCCCACAGAACCGGTAGTAAAAAAAATTGGATTTCACCACTGCTTCAACCCTCAGAGTCAGTCAACATGCTTCCTCAGGAATTCTGGGAGTTGAAGTCCACATATCTTAGTTGTTACATTTGAGGAACACTGAATTAAGAAATAGACTTAGGGGTAGGAAAGTCTGAATTACTTAAGTCCACCTAAGATAAAGTCTACCTAAGAGAAAAATCTGCCGTAAGTTCTCTTCCATTCCAGACAGAATAAGAGATGTATATAGTAGGATGGCACAGGTTAGAGAGAGAAGCTTCTTGGATGAGAAGTCTTCAAAGAAAAAACAGAAAGTCCAGTTGCCTCTTGAAAAAGCACCTTTGGGACAACCATGACCTAGATGACTGAGAAGCTCCATAGACAGTTAGAAACAGAAGATACAAAAAGATGAACTGAGGGCAGAAGGAAATGGTAGGAACGTCAGTGTAACCAGCTGGAGGCATATTATACAGCAGAATGCAACTTTAATCAGGGGTCCTTGGTGCTTTCTGGGCTTGGTTATCTTCTTGTAGATGTTTCATTCTCCAAACTAGTTAACATCATTAGTGATAGCATCTGATGATGTTAACTAGTTTGGAGAATGAAACATCTTCAAGAAAACAACTAAGTTCAGAGAGCACCAAGGACCCCTCAACCTGCGCTACAAATATTCTCATTTATTGTCAAATTTCATCTTCTAGACAATAAGCGTGCAGGGGACTTATCAAATGTCCTCCCCTCCTTTCCTCACAAGACACCTAGGGAAAACAGAGAAAATAGATTTCTTTGTATCAGCTCCCACTTGGAAGTATGAGCAGGTCCCACAATATTGCAATTCTGCAAACAATTCAATGATGCATTGTTTTGGTGCAACTGCACCTCTAGCTGATTGAACGAGGGGGGTTACCTTGAGTATTTAGTTGAGTTGAGCGCTTACATTAATTTTGACTTAGAGTTTATAGTTTGATCTTCTTGTGATGGGATATTGTACGCTATCCAAAGTCCCTTGGGATTAGAGTAGGTTGCAAATACTGTAAAGTAACTAATTTACTCACTAACTCTGTTATTCATAGAGGTCAATGGATTTATAAGTTTGGAAAGCTGGTGAATGCAAAGCTGGATTCTAACATGCCTTGATAAAATGCATTCAAAGCAAAAAAAAATTGTTTTCAAAATAAAGACTGGAAACTCTTCCTGTTCAAGTGTCTCATCTTGTTATTCCATCTTTGAGCACCAGAGATCTTGTTACTCAAATGGTTTTTATGATCGCACCACTGAATGCACATTGCGACCAAGAATATGAATTTGTTACCTATTTTTTTTTTATAAGTTTCCATGTCCCAAAATGAGTAGATAATGAAAATATGTTCATGTACAGTCTGGATTTAAATGAGGACCCGAAGGACTTAATTAACTTGACGCTGTTAGCTACAATTGTATGGATCATTTTTCTGTTAACGAATTGCTCTTTTTCCCCTTTTAATTTATAGGAGGCGGTATAATTGATCTAAGTCAGGAGTCTGCAACCTTAAATACTCAAAGAGCCATTTGGACCCGTTTTCCCACAGAAAAGAAAACACCGGGAGCCACAAAACCCTTCCCGTGCCTGACTATTTCTTGAGCGGCCACAAAACTAGCATATGTAGTGGAATTAAATGTTCTTTTTTCTGCTGAAACTTTTCTTTTCTTGGATTTATTTGCATATTTTAAGTGACAGGGATCTGCAGTAGAGGGGTGAAAGAGCCACATGCGGCTCCGGAGCTGCAGGTTGCTGACTCCTGGTCTAAGTTAAGTGGCTGGAGAGTAAACATAAAATTTAAGGGATCTTTTTGTTATGAGATTGAATTGTAAATAGAAATCAAGATAATTTAAATAAAGGTGTAAGTTTAAGATAGAGATATTTAGAAGTAGAATTTGTGTAAAGAGGTTAAATAGGTTAGAGATACCGATGCAGAAAAGTTGTTATTAGTATTGAAATTTTGATATGTTTGTTTTTGGTTGTTTATATTTTTTGTTTTTTTGTGTGTATGTTTTTTTTTCTTCCTTGCTTTTTTGTGTATTATGTTTCTTTTTGTACTGTGTATTTTAATCTTTGGAAAATTAATAAATATTATTTTTTAAATAATAAAATAACTAAATGTTCCGTTTTCTTCTGAAACGTTTCTTTTCTTGGATTTATCCATGGTTGGCCTACTGGGGGTTGAAAAGCTCAATAAATCATGTGCCGGCGGGTGTCGCACATTGGTGGTTGTGATGCATATTTTGAGTGACAGGGAGCCACAGCAGAAGGTGAAAGAGCCACAAGTGGCTCCAGAGCTGCAGGTTGCTGACCCCTGATCTAAGTTAATTTTTTTGCATAGTAGACCTAAATTATGTCTTTTTGTTTCCCTTTGGAAAATGTACAGGGCTTTTGTTGTTATTGCTGTTGCTGTATTTCACTAAATAAAAAAAAACAACAACCTATAATTAAATTTTTAGAAACCATTGCATTCTGGCTACTTCAAACTGATGACTTTGGCTCTAAATAGAATATCAACTCTATGTAATAAGGCTGAGAGAAAGATAGAATGGAAGAGGGTAAAGAAAATGAAATGGAAAGGACTGTAGTATTTTGGAGTGCCCATGCTAAGATCAACTTTTCAACACAATGATGTCCTTCCTTCAAGATCGCAATCTACAGTAGTGTAGATAACCATGGAGTTGACACACATTTGTTTGTGGTGAATATATCGAGTTTGAGCATAGGATGAGGGTGGAGATTCATTCTCTCTGTTGTGACCAACGCCCAAGTAGTGATTACCAAACACAATTCAGTCCCCAATAAACTTATTTTATTAAAACAGCTGAGAATTAATTCATTCTCAGCTTAGTCCAAAACAAAATTCTTAATAACCAGTCTATCGGCCTTATCACCAACCTTTGATGTCTTTGGCAACCTGCCAAAGGCTTTTCTTGGCAACCCCCCCACAAAGTTCAAGAGACGGTGACAAGAAGCACTGGAATCAACGTTGCTTTTCTACAAAGAACCCAACAGCTCGTTGCTGCTATTTTAAGCTTTCTGGGAGAAGCCAATCATCTTCTTGCCTTACTCCCAAGTTGTCCTTTTTTCTTCAGCTGCTCTTGCCTTCTGGCAGCTCTTCGCATGCGTGCACTAGGAACAGGCTCCTCCTGTTCCTCTGCCTCTCTGCTGTCCGCCTCTGGAGCAGGGGTGAAATGTAAAATTTGTTACTACCAGTT